CCCCCCCCCCCCTCCATTACTATAGATTCATGGATTTTGCGAGCAAGACGTGATACGCTTCAACATATAGGGTAGCGGCATCCCGTTAAACTCTGTAGATACAGGTTGCTGGTTCCATCCGCCCCGCGTTGTGTGTTCTTCCTACGCTAATCATCTCGGAAGAGAGGAAATTGTCTTTCGATGTATCGCTTGATTAACTCAAAACCGTGGAAGAGTGGAATACAGTGGAAGGGGGGGGAAAGCTCACACATATTTGTTCTTTCCTCTTCCTTCGAACCAATCCGCGCATAACCGCTTCCATAACCCGGCACGTTATTCCCGCTCGGCCTGTAACGCCCCCACGTTATCCCATGTAATAACCCCTTGTTGGCCGGAGGTTACACAACGCCCCCGTACAACCGTGCCCACTGGCCACCTGCCTGTGTAAACCCGCCGCACGACACTGCTGCTGTAGAGCGGCAAGACGAGCTTCTACACGGCGCGCGTGGAGAAGAGAGAGCGACATTCCGGCAGCAGTTGCTACGTAGGTAAGCGAATCCCCGCCAGTTATATCTGGATGGTAGCTAAAGAAGGATGAATTGAGGGAACATTGTGTATTGTGTAGTTGTGTACCCCTATAACAGTTTATGCATATGTATGTCCCCGTTGGGAAAGGCTCGAACTCTCCACGTGCTGTAAATGCATGTACGCTCAGACACCAGCAGTTGGTCTTGCACACCCAACGGCTCTCGGCCTACTGCGTGCTCTCCCTCACCATGTTCAGAGCGGGGATTCTCCCGGAGGCGTCAATAAGCCCCTAGCCTCATAACAGAGCTCATTGGAGGGCGGGTAGGCACGTTACTTTCAACGTTATTTTTGTTTTTTTAGGGGGGCGCTCGTTGTTCTTTCAACAGCAACAACGTTCGGTAACAACCCCGCATGTCTGCTCTATCTGACCTGTCCACACACATGCATTGCATCGACCGCGTCGACCCTCCACATGCATTAACGCCCTGCCCTCACCACACCCAATTGCTTGAGATGGGTTGCTCGATTGACACAGGTCGTTCACACGTATGCAATATAGTCTATTATGTCGCGTTGAAAGCAAGAATCAACGGAACCCGTAGGTTGCTCAAGATACCACATCCCCTTGACCAAGTCTCAACCTATATTGTTTCACGACGAAGACGATTCCGAAAATCAAATGATAGATTTTCGAAAAGCTCTCGACGAGACAGTTCCAATGCCGCCATTTCCGACCTCGCCACTCCTTCCGTTGTGGAATAATCAGGCTTTGGAACTCTGTCCAGAGGGCGTGGTATCTTCGTTCTGTGAGATCAGTGGATTCGATTCTCCTCTGCGCCATATTTTTTCTTCCCACCACCCTTTTTTGCTCTTTCTTTTTCCTCTGGAAATTCGATGTATCCCTTTCAAAACATGTTTGGCCGTAAAATATAATATACCGGGTAAACCCTGAGAAACAACGCGTGTTAGAGACCGGAAAGTTTTTTCTTTCGATATCGAGACAACAACAACTACTGAGAAAAGGCGGTCGCAGCGGGTCATGCCGCCCCACTGATGCGACATGAAGAGGGCACCAGTAGTTGCACAGCTGAGCGGAGGAACATGCATGTGCATATATTGCGTCTCACCCACTCCCTCCACCCCCTCCCCCCTTGTATCGTACTGTGTAGGCGGATACCGCCATGAGTGGGCTTGGTACCGTCATGTTCTCGAAGGTTCTAGGGCGAGCCAATCACGGCATTCCCGTGTCAGAGAACGAGGCCATGCAGAGCGTGACCTTCGATCAGGTCCACCGATGCAAGCGCACCACCCCATAGCTCAGGTACGGTCGGGTTAAGTGAACTCTCGGCGGAAAATGCGAGATCTTTTTCAGAAATGGTGCCCAGTGATTTGAAAAACAAAATATGATGGAAAGTTCATGTCCCGACCCCCGACACCTCTGTCCACCGAGAACCGACGAACGTCTTCTACCGCACCTGCTGTCAGAGTCGTGCACAACATCGTCGATCACTCCGGCATAGCTCCAGGCACGTTTGGAGTAAAGTCGCCCCTATTTGAATGTGAACGGAAGGAACGATGGAATACCTTCTTTCGAGGGCTGCTCATTCGTTCATTTATGAGACTCAATCAAAGCGTATGCTACAATAGAGGGAAGGAACGGGGGGACGTGCAGGCAACTATTCCTCGCGATGAGTTGCTTGTGGAAGTAGTAGAGATTTTTGACGCACGCGCACCGGTACTGCTGTTGGTTTGAGGGTCTCGCATGTTGTAGCGTTGCACTGAAAATGTAGTGCGAGGCAGAAGGACGGCGCAAGGTGCATTTAGGCAACATCTCATGATGCCAAGCGCCGGGGACGAAGAGTCATTGTCCCTGAAATGACGCCGCTTCCCTGTGGTAATGACGCTTGAGTTTTTTGATCCCCATGCACGACTTTACAGCGAGGATAGCTGCTGCTGGTGTCCTGATAGCCCTCTTGCTTGCTGTTTCCGGTTCAAATTCCAGGCCATCTACTGTCACCCTTGCTCTGGCGCATCCATCTGTCCAGCCCCTTGCCCGCTAAGCATCATCCCCCCCTCCCCCCCCCGGTGATTGCCATCGGGGTTGGGTTTTCGTCGCTTGGCAACGACGTTATCGTTCGAAGGTGCTCGAGCAGTACGTCCTCACGGATATCAAGACGAAAATGGGCATTCCAGCCTACACTTCGGCAACAAGAGCGACCCCGACCACGACGGTAGCCGTACCTTCCCCGTGTGCGAGGCTTTTTCCGAAAAGTCGTTTGCTGCGAAGGGCGGCGGCGGTGAAAAAACTTGGACGCCATCAGCGACATGTACGTTGCTTTTGTTTCAATATGTGAACCAAGCTCTGTGGGGCTGAGGGTTTTTGTCGTCTTTAGCGTATTCTTCAAACCCTGTCTCCCCTGGTGTACTGTCGGCAATTTGTCAGGCCGAAAAGCTCTCATTGGACGTTCAAGCTCAGGTGAACGTCCAACACTCTCGTTTGTTTTGTTCCTGACGCGTTTCCAGCGTTATTTATCGTTCCCCATATTTTCAGCGTGCCTTGGCATTGCTCTTAGGCAGTCGACGCGCTGGTGGTTTGTCGCAAGCTATGTATGTATGACCCCGTGACGTCAAACAAACTGATATTCATATGGAACGCCCTTTGTTCTTTGTTTCGTGTCTCAGGTTCTAGGAGAGCTTCATACGATTCGGCTTGGAATACGTTGGGCCGATCCTCTCCACCGAGAGTATTGATCGTCAGGACGACGCTAAGCGCTACCTCAAGCCGTGCTTGTTTGCGGACGAGGGGGCAAGAGGTGGAGGAGGTGACCCAGGGGCGGATGGGAGTGAAGGGTAAACTTAAGATGGAGACGGGGGTGTTCGTCGTCTCCGAGCGAGAGAAGCGATGGTCCTGATGACCACGCTGGCTACAAAGCCTTGGCGGACACCTAAACCGTGTTGACAAGGTGTGTCATGTGTCTTGTCCTTCCTAATAATCGTGCTGCCTCTTTCTCTCTGCCTGCGATGATGTTGAATGCTTGCGTGCTTCTTGTCGTGCATCAGTTATGCCCGCGGCTCCCTATAATGTACACCCTTCCTCATCCCAGCGTATCCGTTGGCGACCCCTGATGTTTGAATGTACCTCGCCTCCCTTCAGTTTTGTTCTGCGGGGGTGCGTAGCTTATCGTCGTCCCTGACGTATTCTACGACCTGCGGTAACGCTGTCGGTTCGTGCCCCTCATCCCCCCCCCCGGTGTTTGCCGTCGGGGTCGGGTTTTCGTCGCTTGGCAACGACGTTGAAAAACAAGACGCCCCCCCCGGTGTTTGCCATCGGGGTTGGGTTTTCATTGCTTGGCAACGACGTCGTACAACAAGCCCCCCCCTCGGTGTGTCCCATGGGGATTGGGTTTTCGTCGCTTGGCAACGACGTTGTAAAATAAGCCAAGTCACGTCGTGAACTCGGCAACCAGGCTACCGTTAATGTTTCACTCTGTTTTGTTTTTGGCGGTAACCATAATGGTGGTCGAGTAGATCATGTTGTGCGGGGTGGAGAACCCTCACTCCGCGCAAGGGGGATGATCGCACCACGTTGTGTTAAAATGGTCAAGCACCCTCGAGGCAGTTACACAGTGCCTACAACTGTCTCAGGAAGTGAAAGCACCAGAAAATATATTAAGTCATATGCAGCTGTCATTCGTACGCAAGGGAGCAAGCACAAGATGCCGAACACCCTTAGCAGTATGCAGCGCACCCTTCATGCGACTCGCCGAATATCTCACGGCGCTTCGCGCTTGGTGATGTGAGAGCCTGGTCCGGTGAGAACCCGGCGTGCTCCGTTCCTGCCTTGTAGGGATGCGAGGTCAATGGTCTAACGACTACAGCATGCACGACTA